ATGAAATACATAAAATTTTTTACGCTTAAATAAATAATATGAAATTAAAGACGAAGTCGATCGATCTTGTTATTTTGTATGAAAAGTTATAACAACATAATACAAAATTGATCCTCTAAAATATAAATTATTGTCATGCAAATTTTTTAATTATATATTTGAAAATTATAAAATTTATAACGTACATAATTTATGATTAAACAATTATCAATAAAAAAAATAAGTGTAAATTTTGTCTACATTGTGTATGATGTATTATGTTTATTTATTTCCTTGTGATAATTATATACATTCAATTAATTCGTATAAAATTGTAAAATAATCCTCGTTTTAATAAAAGCTTTTGGTGTCATTGTGTAGACCGAATAGAAATATGGAGCATAATTTTTAAATTAAAATTATAGAACCTAAGTTGTATACGTCGCAATTAGAATTTAAGCAAGCTTTAGTCAGTTCAGAAATAACGTAGAAAGCATAAATTACCGATTTTTTTTTAATATAATCACAATACAATGGATATTTGATAAATAATGAATAAAAAAAATGTAATTTAATTTGTAGTTCACTAGCCAATAATATTGATCATGTGCAATTTAAGAATGTTCTCACTTGCAACATTTTTATTACAATTTTCATCGTTATATTTTTAATTCCATAATAAAATACAAAATCACTTCAACGAGACCGCCAGACCGTACGACTTATAAGGTTAATAGATTATTAATTATTTTAAATATTAATACACGAGTTTTTAAATGCTTTTTTATATAAATATATATATAGCCTCAAGTAATTATAAATTGACAAACCTAATGTTGTTGGATTGATTTATATTTGTATTTATAATACTATTTTTTTTATTATATGTATTATTGTCTTAAGTTAGCCTTTTTCATTATTATATTCTAGTACTTCAAGTATTTTCAGACTAGATATTAGAGAACCACGCTGAACGTTAAGTTTATAATTAAGAAATGAACGTATTAGCTAGTTAGAAGTTTATAAAATAATTGTTTTTTCAATACTGTTCCTAATATTGTATTAATTTAAACATGTGTGATTTAGTAAAATTTATCAAACATTTTTTCAATTATGTATTCTACATTTATCATAGATTCCTTTTACATCGCCGCTGTTAATTTCCCTATGACGTAAGAAATCTAAATGATCGATTTAATTATGGTTGTTCTCTTTTATTATGCAACTACGTGAATTTAGATCGTTTGATAATCTCTATAAGAATTGAATCTTTCATGAAATCATTATTCGTTAACTTTCCTAATTTGAAAAACTTGCGAATTCAATGAACTCATGGTTAAATCATTCGTACATGTACTTGAATTAGGTAATCAAACGTATCAAAATGTTTTAAAACAATGTGTTTATTTTGAATTAAACTGTGTACGAGGCATTTGATTTTACGTATAGTTTTCGCGTTTTCACGTATGACTGTGACTTGTCTTTGATTAAGTCGTTATTCGGCACGTATGATGTCTATCGGTATTTGACAAATTTTTTTTTTTTTTTTTTTTTTTTTTAAACACAAATTTAGAGCGTGCAGTATGTAAAAGTAAGGTACTTTTAATAATTAGGTTTCCATACTTATAATATCAAAGTTATATAGCCTAATCACCGATTCAGCCCCTACGCAAATAACCACGATGCACGTCGGAAACATGGAAGCTGCTAATTCACGAAAGGGCAACGATAATGAAAGGGGACTGAGAGCCAATGGAAGGGCAGGCGGGAAAGTGGGGTGGGTGATAAAAAGGTCGAAAAAACGGAAGTTTCTTTGCGGATACTTCTGCATGAGCGATTAGAGAAACTCCCGAGGGAAGTGACGCGCCGTTGAGCAAAGTATCGGGGTGTCGTTGGTAATTCGAAGAACGAAGATGGCTCGATTTATGATCGATGGGAAAGTGCGAGACAACGAAAGAAATGGCTGCCGGATTTCTTCTTCCTTCGCGCTCGTCTTACTTTCATCTCTCCCATTCCGCTCGGCCCCTGACGCCGCATAGTTACTCCTACACAACGAGAAAAGCATACGTAACCCGGGACTCCGCTCTACGAATTGAGCAATTACTACGATCATACGTCGGCTTATCCAGCTCTCCCGACTCACTCACCCCCTCCCCAATCCCTACCTCCCTACCACCCTACCACCCTACCTCCCCACCCCCATAAAATCTTGCTCTAATTAGAGTAAAGCAGTAGATTGAATCTTCGTGTACAATGTTATGCTTGCGCACATGATCTCATGCATATTTTCGCACTACAGTTCCACGAAACGAATCGTACAACGTATATGGATTTTTTTCCTCTCCTTTTTCTTTCTTTCACTTATGTAAGAAAATTAAGCCCGTAAAGTCAACTACTTTTTAGCTGGCTTATTCTGGTTCAAAGTAAACACAGCTCGGATTCGCTAGTGTGACCTTTAATATTTTAATATGTCCAGATACGCATGGCTTTTATTGTTGCTTAAAGCATTCTTGGCATTTAAATCTTAACGTGTGGGTGGGTGTGCGGACGCGTGCGCCTGTGTGTATGAGCGAGTGAGTGAGCGGACGCTACGAAGAGCCATTGTAAGCATTTCACTGTAATCTTTCCAGAACCCTAGAATCTTCACTTTCTCAAGCTTGAAACTTCACGAACGTCGAAAACAAACAAAAAAAAAAAAAAAATAAAAAAAAAAACGCTCGGTTATCACGCCTATTATATTACGTATGAAAATATTACGGAATTTTAATTTCCGTTCCTTGTGTGTCATTCGTTGTACTCGCATGGATAAAACTATAAACAAGTACTTCAAATATCTTAAGACGATGTCGCTACTATCTAATGTTGCATTAACCTACAAAATTTGCCATCGCTTAAAAAAAAGAGAGAGTGAGAGGGAGAGAGAGAAACCTTACGCGCCGGAGAACACTCACACGCGCACGCGCACGCGCACACCAACATACGTATTTTTACATATCTTAAACCCTGAGCTTTCTCTTCTATCGCTTATACGAAGCCAACGCGCTTTATTAATTTTACCAAGTTACACTATGTCGTTCTCGTTGAGCATTCAATGCTAAAATCGTATCGACAGGGACACCTCCGCGTATCGATCATATTTTCTTTTACTTTATTGCCTTCTTCGCGCACTTGAACTCGACGGCTGCGCTTGCAGCCATAAACGAGTCTCGTTGCGCTGAAAAAAGTGGTTTGGACTGAAGCAGGGATGCCTGCTTTTAAAAATAAGAAAAGGAGACTCGCCCCGAGAGGAAGTGCGAAACAATCCGAGCGCCTCCCTCCGTGACCCCCTCGTCCAACCGCCGCTCCCGGACATTATCCGCCAGATTGCCTCCTTAACCCAACTGTAACGAGCATCGCGAATAAATATAAAGCAGTGCGAAGCAGGTTAGTAAGAAAGGTAAGCACTCGGTTGCGAAGCCAGGAAACGACGGCATTGAATGTCCCTAGGTAGCAGGTCCCTAGGTGTTCGCCTGTCTCGCGCACGACGTACCGTACTTAATGAACGGGGCCGATAAGGCAGGGATGCGCGCACGGCGCTTTAAATGAATGAGGAGCGGAATTTGAAAGAGCGTTTTGTCCAAACAGGTGTCCGAGTAAATGGCGTTGGCGCAAGGAACGGCTCGAAGTCGGAGGGCCTGGAGGTGGGCTCGGCGCGGGCGGCCTTGCAGCTCGAGGTCAGGCCACGGGGCGAGGTCGTCCTGGGGAGGAGAGGCGTCACGCTCAGCTGCACGGGGCCCGGAGCTCACGGCAAGCTCACCTGGCTCCACAACGACAAGGCCGCGCCGCCCTGCGGAACCACCCGCTGCAGCCTAGTGCACAACGGATCGCTGCGCCTCTACAAGGTGAGTACTCGCGCTCCTTGCTCTTAGCGCCACGGCAATGACGAGTACGCTAGGGGGCTGGAGAACGAGAGAGAGAGAGAGAGAGAGAGAGAGAGAGAGAGAGAGAGAGAGAGAGAGCGGGAGGAGGGAGGGTTATACAGGACTCGAGGCACCGACTCTTTCAAGGACACTCGCACTACGGCTCTTTAAAAGCTGCGAAACAGTCTACGGAAATAATTTACGCGACCTTTTATTTGACCAATCGCCTGGTTAAATTGAAATATGAGTGGGCGATGATATCGTCTCGGCCAGGAACCGGGAAAAGCAATGGCCAACGCATCGCTGAAACTTTTCGTTTAAAACTCTGCGATCCTCGTGCGCCTATTAACACTCGCGCTTTCATTCAATTGACATTTGTAACTAACCGAACTTATGAACGAAAGGGGAAAAAAAAAACTGTTTACTTCTTATTTAAACTTCGCCTACGTAAAAGTATCATCCTTATCGTTTGAGGCCAGCCCTACTTGCAATCGTTTCAAGGCACTAAATAATGTTAAATAAGAATTTCCTTAATAAATAACGCATGGAAAAGTTGTAAAAATCAAAACATTGAAAATTCAATGGAAAAAAATGGTTTTTTAAATGTTCATTGAATTAACTTTAGTATTATCTTTCAACTCTTATGTTTTAGAAAAGTCATCTTCATGCCAAATAATTAAATGAATAATAACAATAATGTACGACTTCGGCAATATATGATTTGTAAAACAATGATGTCTTATTAGTAACGGTTATTGTGTTCGGTTATTGTGGTTATTGTATTAAATAAAAAATAAAATAATAAATTCCAAATGGGCTATTTATTGATCGTATTGATTCCTTTTACAAATCATCTTACATTTATTCTACTCGCGACTTAATGTCGTTTTTTATTTAAGTGATTATTTTAGAACAAAAGTCGCATTAGCTTGTACTATCAGAAATTTCGCGTGCCATAAAATTATAATAATACGCATCCCGTTGAAACATTTGTCAAAAACATATCGAAAAGTGTCAGCGATATTATTTAAAAGTTACTCCTCAATGACAAAAACATATAAATATTGATATTATTACGAATTATAATATAAAGAATTTTTTTTCTTTTTTAATCTCATATTAAACGTCAGAATCGAATGGATGAAAAGAAGAATTTGCGTTACGAGTAATGTGATTTGTTAATATTGTCTATGAATCTCGTTACTATTTCTAATAAGCCAAGCCCTATTTAATGAATAATTTCACCGCATGTTTTCCGGAAGAAGAGCTCGATAATGCAGAAACGAAAGGGTAGAGAAGGAAATGGTACTCAGAGCACGAGGAGTACTCAAAGGAACGAGTATCGCTGCGTATCGCATACCTCCTATGGAGTATCTTTGCGATCGTCGCCGACCAATATACTTTATGCCGGTGAGTATTTATAAATTAATCGTAAAATATTGGATTTAGAGAGAATCTTGATTGTATCGCATCGTGCTCACGACTGTTATTCTCATTGACAGAGCTCTCCCACGCTTTTAAAGAATCGCCAGAAGATTTAACAGTTCACGAAGGAGAAGTGTCGAAGCTATCCTGCTTTATTGACAGCGTACCATTTCCGCCTAATATTACTTGGTTACACAATGGAGAAATCATTGGAACTGATAATAATAAAACAAAGTGCGTTAGTGTTAAATATTATTGTTGTGATATTAACGCTGATTGTTATTATATGTCGATATGTGCAATGAAGGGCTGAGTAGTGTCAATATTTTTAATCTCACTTCCAAAATGGCCATTTAAGCAAATTTTATGAGCATTATATTGTGATTATGTAATGAAGGTTAATGATAACATTTAATGAGTAAAATTGTTGACATACTTTGGCCAACCATCAAAATGAAAGCAACATTCTTTTCACTGAAAAACCAAATTATAATTGAAACAAAACGTATAATGCACAGTCTGTGATATTTAACGTATAATTAAATCTTATTCGCGACAAAATGTATCCAAAGTATAACATTAAATAAAATTTTGTTGCAGATATGCATTTATAGTACCCGGTCTTCTTTATATAAGTGAAACGAATCTCGCTGATGCTGGTTCATACAGGTACTGAGTCAGCTACGATTTTTACTATTCAAATACTTGGAGCAGCAAGTAATTACTATAACGTCGTCGTTCAATTCTTAGATGTGTTGCGGCCAATGACTATTTAAATGTGGTTAAGAAGAGTAGAGAGGCTAAATTAACCGTAATTTCGAAGAACGATAGCAAGGAATCGCACAATCCAGTCTCGTTGTTCCCTCAATCTTCTTATAGGCACTCTCCATTAAACGGTACCGATCTCCGTCTTGCTTGCGCTGCTTCCGGCTATCCCACCCCGATGACTACGTGGACTTTTGTCCCACAGTATGCCGGTACGATTGTTATACACGAATCATTAAGTATTAAATAAATTCTAAAGATCAGCGTCACGCTATATGTGCTTGAAAATATGCGTAATTTATTTTTATTAAATATGAAACAGCTTATAAATTATGTTATCGAAGACTTAAAGTCAAATTGCTAATACGATTTCTTAGATAACATTTATATTGTATTTACTTCCAATTAAAACAATGTACGTAAGAATTTTTTAACGCTTATTGAATTAATTGAGAATTATTTTGTTCCATATAGCAAGAACTATTTAAAATATGACAAATTATACGAAATGTCAAAGAATTTAAGGTATAATGGAAATTTTTCATAAATTTTTGTTTATTCCGTATAGCAACGAAAATTACTTTGTTTTCTTCTGTCCATTTCATCTAACTAATTAAACGTATCCTAGTTTATCGAATAATTTAATTTCTAAAGAAATTTGAAGCTACAAGTTGTAGCAGGTTTCTCAAAAAAAAAAAAAAAATAAATTCCTTTCATTCTATTGGAAAAACCACCGTACTTCGATCGTATTATCATATTTTTTAAATAATATTGCAACATTTAATATTTTACAGATATCGAAGCAGCGAAACCTCAATGTCTTGTCAATTCCAGTCTAGGCTTAGCTATTCTTGAATTAAACAATATTTCAACATTAAATGCGGGTGTCTATATTTGTTCCATGAAAAATTTGACAAACAACAGCACCGAATTGCAGGTTAGTGAGCAGGAAATAATTTTCACTCCATTTACCTCTATTAAAATGTAATTCATTCATTTATGTTTGTTTGCTTTTTTTTCTTTTCTTGGTTCTTTTTTTCTAGAACGTAACCGTAGAGGTACTCGTTCCGCCATCGTTCATTAAAAAACCATCTAATCAAATTTGTCCAAATGGAAGAACAGCCCGATTCGAATGTCAAGCCCAAGGATTTCCAGTACCACGTATTTACTGGCTTAGGAATTCCGAGGATATTGCTATTAATGGTAAAAAGTCGAATGAGTTTGGATTACAAGACTTAAGATTAATTATAATTCAATTTCAATAGAATGAAATTGACATGTGTTTAAATGAGGCCGATAAACTTGGACGATAAATATTTTGCGATATAAAATAATTATAATATTTAAGAAATTATGTTTAATGCTTAATCTTGAGCAATGCTCAGCCATGTTCGAATAAATTGCAGAATGTATATTATAAAGTCTGGTCAATTAGTTGTAATGGGTTGAATTTCAGGACGTAAGACGATATACGTGAAGGAATTCAATAAGATGGAGCTGGCGATCTCCGCGACAGTCCCATCGGATTCTGGAATCTACCAATGCGTAGCGGTGAATGCTGCAGGTGAGATTTGGGCTGCTGGTCGGCTGCAAGTGAATACATCTCGCAACAGTCCCGCTGCGCCAACTTCGCTTAAGTGTGAAGCTCGGTCGCCCATAAAAATGTTTATCTCGTGGGAGCCGCCAAACTTCTTACCATTTACCAATATCACTGCGTATACCGTGCATTATAGACCCGTTGGTAAGCATAAAGACCCGCATGATTTTTATAAACTGATTCTATGACTTCGTAAGCATATTTGTCATCGTTTCCTTACTACGACACTTAAATCTACACGAAATATTAATAATTATGTTTGAGTCATAATTATTGAATTATGTTTTGATTTTGTAGAGGGTGGCAAGGAGGAAGTTTCACCACCTGAACCTGGCAATTCCACATCCGTTGAAGTTACAAAACTTTTAGAACCATTTACAAATTACACCTTTTATGTACGTCTATGGAATAACCATGGTGCAAGCGATCAGTCTGCTACTATCACTTGCTCTACAAATGCAAGTGGTAAGTTTTATTTTCTTAATTATAAGTGGGTAAAAAAAAAAAAATCCTTTGACAATGCAATAATAATTTATTTTCCAGTTCCAAAAACTGCTCCGAAGATTTCTATAAATGTGATTAGTAGCACAAGGTTGAATGTGACGTGGAAACCTTTGGATAGAAAAGAGGCTCAAGGAATTGTAACGGAATATAAACTTGAATGGAGACTTTTCCAACATCCATCAGTACGCGTACGGACTTTGTCGGCTGACGTTGAGCAATTTATTCTATCAGGTTAACGTTGAATACATGCTTTTGTCGATTGTGTAGATTGCAATTATTGAAATTTTCACTTAAATATTGGACCTTTTAATTAGATTTAATACCTGGTGAGCAGTATGATCTTCGTGTACTTGCAAGAACTAGTCTTGGTTGGCCAAACGTTACCGAGTCACAACTCGGTTGGGTAACAACCACGATGCCATCGTCCAACGACTTTACACAAATTCAAATTTTAATTCTTAACTCTACTACTATCATGGTATGTCACATTATTCTTCGTGTACATTTTCAACAAACGTATTACTAAAATGTTTGTACGGCTGCAGGTGAAATGGAATATTAGAACTAGTTCGATCATTCAATTTACGTCTTGGAAAATTTATTGCAAAAACGAAGATGGAATAACAATTGTGTCCGTTGATTTGACAAAGAATTCGACTGAATATATATTAACCAATCTTGGTAAATATACAATGTTATTAAAATAATTATTATAATAATTTTATACTGTATATTAAATTATTTATTTATATATTTTCCAGTTCCCAATGCTCCTTATACCATCGAATTATGTGCTCTTAGTAATGGAGAAAAAGTCCACTGTATTACAAAACGCATCGATTTAAAGAAAATTTCGAGTAAGTTAGATATTTAAGTTCTAATTAACAAGCAGTACAATAATATTTGCGTAAATTAATTTTGTTTGTTATTTTAGCGAGTCTAGTGCCTACGGCATTAGAAGCTATTCCAACATCTTCGAGTTCAATAAGATTGTCGTGGCTCTCAGGTACACCAAATGAAACCAATTCGTTCGAAGTTTGTTATCATCTAGTGCATTTTTCAAACGAGTCTTCAATTTGTATTCCAGTGTAACTATCGCCAATTTTTTCTTTATGGCTATTTAATAGCTTCTATTTATGAATATTAAAATAAAATCTTAAATTTGCAGAAACTCAACGCAAGTTATGATCACGAATTTGAAGTCATTTAAGCTTTATCAATTTAAAGTAAAAGCATTAAATAAGAACAGTGATCATAATCCTTACAGCGAGACTATAGAATGTTATACAAACGAAGACGGTAAACTCTTATTTCATTAAACTTTATTATTGTAATATAAAGATGTGTTTATGTTATTGCGCTTAACATTAATAATTTATGACGAATGTCTATGGAATATTATTATTAAAATGAAGTTCAAAGAATTTTCGGCACTTTCTTATACAAATTTGTTCCGGCATTATATTTATAAACTGTGTAGTTCCAGGCAAGGTTGAAGATATCGAATGGTTTTTGGAAAATGGCACGAAAGTACGCGTCGCATGGAAAGAACCAAACAAAATTAACGGTGTCATTCAAAGTTACTTTCTTGCTTATTCAATGGACAGATCTGAACCCAGATCATGTTGGAATAATATAACTGTTTACGGGAACAAAACGTCTGCGAATCTGCCGGGTTTGGTAGCTGGAAAACGATACTTCGTTATTATCCAAGCAGCGACAAAAGCTGGCTTCGGCAATCCTTCCGAACCGATTATCATTTTAACTGGTGGTGGGGCTTCTGAATCGCCTAGTTCATTAGATGAACAAAAACCATTGCCGAAAACAAAAGAAGATAAAAAACTTGGTAAACCATTAACCCTTTTTTTTTTTTTTTTTTTTTTTTTTGTTGTTCTATTTTATTTCAAGCATTAATCAAGAACACAAAGTAATAATGATAACATGATGCAACTAATTTAATATTACAACTGACATTTAAATTGTAAAACTAAAGTATAAAATATAAAATTCATAATAAATGGCGAGCCTTGCTCCATCAAACATATTTTCGTAATAATGATAATAGTTGCTCGTCAAATACGAGGGAAAAGCTTTTCACATACGCATGATACACATTTTGAATTAAATCTCGTTAAAAATATAAAATCTTTGGATAATTTGTCGTAGGTATTATTCTGGGAATAGGCATCAGCTTGATTTGCATTGTCGTATGCCTTTGTAGTATGTACTGCCGAAGAAAATATGAAAGTTTAAGGTCACTTCGAGAGAGCGCACAGCCACTGAAAAGCCGTATTCTGACGAGGAATGGCAATAGCTGCTGCGTCGATAGATCCTCCACTTCCGTTAGTCAGCCTGCCGTAACGAGCAATGAAATCGAACTGGCAGTGCTTTGTCCTCCTACTCCAATTTCAACTAATCCGCTCTGTGATACTAAAGTAAGTTCAATGTTATTATGCTTTCAAGCCTTAGCTACCGTTTATATGCTTTTAAGGCCATTGCTCTTTATTAGCCACTTGAAACTTTATATTAACTGTAAGTGCGTTCGTCGTAAAAGTCGTGATAATAAATTTGTTTTAACTTAAATTGAATATAGATAGAACGATAGAATATGTGTCGGTTATTTTGATATTTGATGAAATAAATCCCTTGATAAAAACAAAAAAAAAAAAATTATTTATCTTTGTTTAAATGTTTTTGTAAATTTAACTATTATCTATTACTTAATTATAAGATTAAGAATTCATCAAATTTATTATGAAAGTAATACAAAAAAAAAAAATATATATATATAGATATATATATATTATTAGAAGAATATCAGTGGTATTATGAAGATATAGCCTTAGAGAATTAATTCACATGTTGCACCTTTGTAGCTAAGGTTAGTATGAATTATTGGGAATTTTTTTATAAAAGTTCTACATATTTAATATAAAGGGTGGACATGCCAATGGTATCGTAGAATCGTGTGCAAAAGAACCGCTTTTGGGGCCTTGGGAAATGAACGGAATAAGGAAGGACCTTCGTATTACGGAAAATCCACAGGTACTACTTGAAAGCTAAATATATTTTACATTTTCTTTAAATGGATTTTTAATAAATTTTAAAATGTTCAAGTTTTAAAGAGTTTTCTCATATGTTGTTAAATAAAATAATAAAAAAAGAGGACAAAATTCGAATTATAATTTTACATGGAGATATTTGACTAAGGAAATCTCGTTTTTATTAAACAGTTTAAGAATAAACATATTTCTCATTTATTGTTAACTTTTTTTAATTAAACTCGTCAAAATAAAATTAATATCTAAATCAATATTTTTAAACTCTGTGTTAAAACTAATTTCGTACGAATAACTGTTAATAAAATACCTTAACAATATGGCATTATTCTTATAAAATTACTAAGTTACATGTACGTTACATTAGATGCATCTCGTATTAAGAAAAACGAGTTTAAAGTTGCATGTATTCAATTACGAGGACTGAGCAAATTACTTAATGGCGACTGCTGTTTCTTTCTATTTTTATGATTTTACAAAAATACTTCATAAGCACATATCATAATCAAACTTTGCAGTTTATTCATAAATAGGATCTCGTATATAAAATATATAATTGTTTTAAGCTTTGAAGGAAAATTAAAAAAAATACCGCTTAAACTCAGGGATGTGCAACTAAGCGCTAATTATGTACAACTTTGCAAAATCAATAAATAATCGAGTGGTTTAATTGACGTGCAAAACAATAAAGCAATCCCTGTCGCGCTGGTAATGGATATTTCGCATTCCGTTACGTAATTCAACCCAATACACTCACTAACGGAATTTTCCTTTCCGCAGTACAAGCCGCGGGACAGCGATGACTCGAGGATATCGCAGGAACAGCTGGAGCCACCGAACCTGGACATCACGCAGCTGACAACCGTCAATTATGATATGGACGACAGTAACGAGAGCATGAACAATAATATGGGCTGCTGTACGGCTGATGGAATAACCGAGCCCATTTCTCAAAAAGCCGCGCCCATGCTCGTTCCGATGCTCGGACCGAATGGTTGAAACGTGATATCCCGTTTATTGGAGAATGGCATGCTCGTGCCCAACGACCCTCCGCCCGCCCCCTACACCCCCCTCACCGCTCCCATCCAACTCCAACTCCCTCCTCACCCACCGTAACGTAACGTATACTGAATTCGACTCCTGTGGAGGACGCTTTTTTACTTTGCCAATTGGCAATATCCTACGTAAAGTAACGCGAGATGGTAGCGAGAGAATAAGGAGATGGGAAGCTCTGGCTTCGGTACCCATGACACGAATTGACACGTAATTATTAAGGATTCTTATGAAGTATCGAGTGACTTCCGCCGATGTCACGCACGTCGAAAGTCTGTTTTATCGGTGCTTCAATTTCCTGTGGTTCCCTGTTTCTGCAGGTTTTCGAGTGTTGCGCGATCATTTTATACTTAAGCCAAATACTTAGCGAGGGGAGAGGGGACCGACTCTATGGTCGATGAAGCAATGTAGGTTTTTTTTTAACGTGGCCGGCAAATGTTTCGGCTACGGAAGTGAGAAGAATTAATTGCGTGGAAATAATTTTTGTACAAATCAATTGAGAGAATCGAAGTGCCGATGAAATTGGACTCTGATATCCCCTTAAACGATAGTAGGAGAAATAGAGGGAAAAATATAAGGTATACAAGAGATGAAGATAATTCTACTTTCAAGGTGAATTATTAGTCATTCCGTAAGCTCCGGTCCGTTTTTACTTATCATTGAGGAAGTCAAGAAGTTCGCGACAACCTTTTTTTTACCCACTTTTACGTTTATGTTTTATATTTATATACCATTGTATTTTATAACAATATATTACAATGGTTAAAACTTCCACTATGTAATCTACTTCCCGTTAATTCATAGACATTATAATAATTACTTAGGTTTACTTTGAATCTCCATATATCAAGCATTTCAAGCAGGAAAAATTCCATTTAATTCGTTCCAATGACAAAAGAAAATCTCAAATTTTAATTATTATCGAAAAAAAAATCACCCTTTTTACTCGAAACTTATCTCGATAGGAAACAAATTAATCATCTTCATATCTACAACTTTCAAATTGTCTATACTAAAAGAAAGAAAAAAAGCTAACATAAATAGAAGTTTTAATAGTTTAAGACAAAATATTTCCTATTTTTTATCTTGTATATAGTTGAGGTGAGAGAGATAGACGGTATACTCGTTAGACGAGAAGTAGAGAACCCATTTATGGATAAGCTTTTTAATCCTTTAAATTTTTAGAAACTATATATTTGCTATTGTTTGTATTCTCCATGCAAATCTCTTTTAATTTTTATTTTTCTTTCTTCCCCCCCCCCCTTGTTTTTCACCCTCTCGTATAGGAACCAATTACACCTATATTCATTCGTTTTTAAGTTGTAATTAATGTTTTTATGCAATGAATGCATAATGTGATGGACATGAGCTCGATAGCTTTTTATTACTATTGTTTTTACTTTTATTTTTAACCATTTCGCCAGATTATCTACCAATCGGATTACCCTCGTAATTCTCTTGGAGATTTAATAGCGAACAAAGTAATGATAAAGAAAGAATTTTAACACGCATTTATACATACACATTCACATTTATATACCGGACTGGTGCATGTTACCATACAAAAAAAAAAAAAAAAAAAAAAAAAAAAAACCCAATGCAGTACCTGATAGACTAAGTTATATCATTTAGAGTGAGACATAGCCATGTCAATGTTATTACTGTACCTCCATTATTGTTATTTATTACTTCATACATTCAATGACAGTAAAAGTAGACTATGTGCATTGGGACAGTTTTTAAAAAAATAAAGAAAATTATTATTGTTCTTATTAAAGTCAGACTAGAATTTTAAACATTCATTGAAAGAAAAAAACAATCGTAAATATTGAAGAACGCCTTTATTCATTTATAAAATTAAGAATACTTAATATAATTAGAAAGTATTTTTTTGTTATTGAATGAACAATTTTTACTTTTGCGATGTTATTTTAATAATTTATTTAAAATAATATGTAAATTTTATATATTAAATTTACAGATAATTTAATTCTCAATTTTCCATGACGAAATTTAAGTGATTAGTATTTTCCATCTAGAATATGGATAATGCTTGCATTATAAATGATAAAAAGAAAATTAGATTTTAAAGATAGATAATTTAATAATCTATAATCATTATTTTGATTATAAATGTTAAACACTGGCAGCTTTTATTGGATATCTTAAACGGTCCTAATGCTTGCATATTTAATAACTAAATATCGACTAAATACACAGAAAAAGCGGATAATTTATGTTATTATGATTAATAGCCATATTACATTTTCAATTTGTACATTCAGTTGAGAGAAATGAAAATTAAGTCTTTAATATGTGAAAATGCTCTGTAAACGTTAATCCTTTTAGACAAAACCATTTGGATAAAATCTTATCGGAAGGAAATTCGAGCACTAATAATATTTCATAAAATGCTACGACAGAAAGAAATGTAAAAATATATCGTACATTTAGCACTCGGTTAAAGATGCCTCTAGTTAAAGCTACTCTTCGTACCTCTGAGTAGTTTCTTAATCTTTAATTTATATATTTTATTTAAGCTTAGTACAATTAGCGTAGAATTAAATTAAACTTTCTTTTAAATATTAAGAGTCTTCGTTTACTTAAAGTATTAAACAATCGAATTACATTTGATCTTAACTTTTATTTATACAAGATTGAGGGGAGTGGTGAGTTTTGTCTTTTCTTTTAGAATTATACGTCGCTTGAGTAGTAATCGAATTTAAAAGGAGTAGCTTTACTCTAGAAAATTGTGGCATCTATAACTAATATTATTAATTATGATAATAATTATTCTGATAGTAATAATAATTGATGAAAATTATTATATAATTGCTTCGAAAAAAAAAAACGAAAAAAAAAGGGAGGGTGGGGCTCCAAATACAATTAAGAAAAGATTGAAAATCAAAAATAGACATAGGATATTAAAAGGTATTAAATTGATAATTCGGCAGTTTCTTTTTTTTTTTTCTTTTTTTTTTTTTTTTTAATCTTGTTTTACGCTTCCTTACTATACCTTACAGTATTGACGATATTTAATTTTTATTCCAAAAACACGTACATGCTATATAACTAAACTCAACTCATTTATTTAATTCGTTTAGAATCAGGCGTAAACAGATACGTTAAACATCATCTCTATCTTTTATTCTTCATTAAAGTAAATTTTTGTTTTAAAATATATTGTTATAGAAATCACAATAGTTAAATTACTCGCATATTAATTATAGCCGTGGTTAATCAAATATTCGATTATTTTCTCCTCATTGTCATTGTTTAATAATAAAAAAAAAAAACAAATAAAATAATAATAATAATAATTAAAAAAAAAAAGAAAGAAAGAACATTGGGATAAGTCAGTTGTAAGGAGTACACCACCGTTTTCTTACATGCAGGGTCTCGGTAATGTACAAGTTTAACCAAAATAACGTTCTCCTTTTCACGACTTTTTAAAATATATGATAATTCAGCGGTGTATCGATCTCCTTATCTGCGCCGTCAACTTTGAAAAAATAAGGAAAAGAAGAATGATATGTGTTGATAAAGTTTTGAGAGTTTGACAAACACAAAAGGATACTTTGGTCGATAAATCGTGGACAAATAAAGACAAAGATACAAATGAAAAATGCAAGAACAAAAGTAAAAAAAAATGAAAAACAAAAATACAAAAAGTAATGTGTACCTGAATCGTACAACAATAGACCTTTAAAAGTGTCGAATAATCGTTGAGCCGTTGACGAGCAGTGAAGCCTTTCGAGACCGACCTTAAATTGCGCGAATGCAAAAGAACAAATATGAAAACTGTTCGCTTTTTGTACAAAACCATAAAAGTTAATTGCGAAGATTTTTTAAATTCACTCTAAATACCTGTACTGAGTATCTCAGTAAGAAAAGTCTACTATATTGTTTATCTTATAGCCAATTAAACTATTAAACCAATAAAAAAAATAATAATAATAATAATAATAATAATATAAAACGCAGGCGCGCGCACACACACAAAAATTCTGCTTGGTAAGTACAATAATGTTCGTGCGAAAATAATAATTGTAATTACTCTCTGAGAAATATATATCTAAATTAAGTATATGATTACAAAATAATACAATTATATTGTAATATCTACGAAAATGATTTGCGTAGTTGCGCGTAATTTTATAAGTCGATGAATAATTCGTGAGAGCGTGACGCGTAACTCGGATGAAAAAAGACTTTTCTTTCTGAGGGCCAATGTGGGTATAAAGGTCGAGGGAAAATGTACGCGATATTGCGAACCAATGAATTATAGGGTCGTCATGCTATTGACATTCAGTGCGCATCTGTGTATGCTATTAATAGGTAAACGTTAATACATTGTACTTTATTCTATTTATAGGAAAAAAAAAAAAAAAAAAAAAAAAAAAAAAGAGAGAGAAAGAAAAAACAAGAGATAAAGGAGAAGTAAAGAAAAGGAAAAAAAAGATGAATATCCGCAAAAATGAAGAGAAAAAAAAGGTCAAGTACAAAGCAATAATCGTAAGAACGGCAAGGGTCGCGCTTGCACACGAGAAAGCGCGCAAATGATAGAAAAGAAGATAAATCGTGAGATTTTCCGTAATCAGTAATATTTTCCATAAGATCATCCGTGAAGAAATTACTTAAAAATGTACATTATGTACGTATGTAAATATCAGCTTCACGATTACAAATAGTGATCTACCGTTAGTTTTTTTTCTCTTCTTCATTTGTTTTTCATCTTTCTATTATTATTATTAATTATTATTAATTATTATTATTTATTAGCTCGTTGTTAGATCCTACAGATGTTCATCTGTAATATTTAGTAACCGCTTTGAAGCGGAGTGTCGACGCCCTTAAATAAAACTGTCTCTCCAATTTTGCGCAAACAGTTTTTCACAAGATTTTTTTTATTTCGTTGCTTACTTAAGTAAAGTACCAATTTATAACGGTAATTATAATATCCATGATGATGGTAGAATACACGAGCAGACTTATAA